CACACCTAGAGCATGTGGCACAGGGTGGCATCCAGGCGGGTTTTGAAGACCTCCAGAGAAGGAGACTCCACAACCTCCCTGGACAGCCTGTTCCAAGAAATGTGTAAATGAGGCACTTTGGGACATGGTTTAACAGACACAGCGTTGATAGGCTTATGGCTGGACTCAATGATCTTGAAGGTCCTTTCCAACCATAATGATTCCATCCTTTTCCCTATAAACCATCTGGTCTAGATGTCATACCAGGACAGGTAGAGCATCCCATCCAGTTGTTTCTTGGGGAATAATCGTACTTCAGAACTCCATTTGACTGGAGAAAGTATAAAACCAGGAAGAACGGAAGACTGCAGCGTTGTTAGGAGCAGCACAGCCAGGAGCAATGACACACGAGGACCTGCCACAGTCCCAGCTGTGCTGAGGTCTCGGGCACGTACGAGGTGTTCCTACACACAGCAAATGAGCAAAATTAGCGTAGTGCAGCAATGTGACAAAATCAATAAATGAGCCCCTTTTTAGTGCCCCTATAAATCTTTTAACTAATTAGAAAGAGTCAATATGTTGCCAGGAGACCTTGCTTCTCCATGTGACATCGACTTCTTCACCAGGATGCTGCTGCCTCTGCTGCAATTTATAACCTCTGACACTCAGATGGTCTTTCATTTCTCCTGGCATGATTACGATGTAGAAGTGCTATATTTTAAATTATTTACCCAGTCACTTATTAATGTTGCTTTTTAGCTGAATTAAGAGATTAGAAGCCTAGAAATAAAACTTCCAATGGATTCTGAAATATAGTTAGATGAAACTATATTTAATATACCTTTGATTTATATTTTAATTTTAAATGAGTAGATAAAGCAGTATCATTAGAAATACTTCAGCATTCTATAATAAGTCAAAAACCTTAATAATTACGCTATACTATATGAGTGAATACATTATTCATAAAAATAAGAGGACATAACACAGACGGAATTTTTTCCGACTAATTTTATTTTCCTTATTCTGATACCATCTCTGCCCATTATGGAATACAGTCCATTTCACGGACATTAATATAACACACAACTGTCCATCTTGGCCACGGTTTGGGGGGAAATGAAAAGAGGAACATGGTACTAACAGGGTAGAAGACAGCAGAACAAATCCTCCTTCAGAGACACCACAACTTGTCATGCACAGTGCCTGACTTCAGTTCCCTTTGGAAGAGTCCCCATGCCCTTTCTTCATTAGCTTTAATCAGTCCACGTGCGACTCACCCATGTCACCCACAGTCAGGTTGTGGTCAGACATCCTCTCCTGGCTGCCCAGTGACGGCTGCCTGACTTCCCTCCCCTGCCAAAGACCGATTCGCCAGCTAGCCGAGTGCCCTGCTGCGGTCAGGGTCTCCCCAGCCTTGCTCTGAGCCTCTCCTGAATCTACGCGATTCTCACATCCATTCTGCCAGAACAAGGGGGAATTTATGGATGGATAAAGTGTTAATTATTGACTTTAAGTCTGATCTTTGCAAGGAAAAATGCAGCCAGTGCTGTTGCTCCTGGTACGGAGCGCCCAGCGCTCTGCGCCCATGGAAGCGCAGAGCGGATGCGGTGGCACCGCTCCAGGTGACGGGAGATGCTGACGCCACAGAGCAGAGCGCAGAAACAAGCTCATCACAGCAGAACTTGGCAAGCCAGCGTTTACAAGGGACAAAAGCCAAAGCAAAAGAGTCTGCTGGAAAAAAGCATAAGGAGGACATTGGATAAAACCGTAGCTGGATGAAGGATTAGCTCTAGGAAAAGGTAAACAGACAAGGAGAGAATCCTGCCCATTTATTAGCAGTCATGATGCCGAGCACCGCCGGTCAGGAGATATGGACAGAGCTGCACAGTTACCTATTTCCAGTTCAGCACTGCAAGGAAGGAGGTGTAGTAGGGTGCCAATTCCCTTCACTTGGAAGGACTTGCACAATAACATCAATGCTGTTGAATGAAGTTACACACAGACACTATAAAGCAGCAGTAAATGCCAAGATTTCAAAAATCATTTTGCATCTGACATTCTCCTGGGTTATTTCAAGTCAAACATAAATGCACTTCCAAGCAGTAATCTTATTTTGTACCAACAACATACACAAGTAGTTAAGTTTGGAATAGGATATCTTCCTCACTTTTATGCTTGAAAGCTGAAGATAAAGTTATTAAGTGTTTTGCATGTACAGAGTGTAAATGGAATGACTGCTTTGCATAAATATATGGCTTGGAAAATAAGAATTCCCTACAGAATAACATGACAGGCATACAGCAGCAGTAACATTACCATGCAATAGGCATTGTGTTTCTGTAAGAGTAAAAAGATACAGCAGTGACCATTTACCTGTCACTCTTGACTGGTCAACAGTAGAAATGAAAGAACTGTCTGGGATTAATTAAAGATCAGACAAATCCCAACTTTGCTTTAATCCAACAAACACCTACGGAGCTTGTTAGTGGAACTACTCAAATGGAGCACTTCCCATGTGCAAAAGAGCTTGGAAAACAGGGATGCAAAATCCACTAACAGATATCAGAAGTGTTTCTGTTTCCTACTGGAAATTCCTCAGACAAGGCCAACACAAATCCTACCTTTGGCTGTTTATTTTATCCTTTGGGGAGACACACTAATAAAAAGGGGTAAAAAGAGTTAGCGCACACAGACAGCAACTCCCAAACTGGAGATTTTTCTCCCTAGTTGGACAATTGGCCACACAGGGAATTGATGCAGCTGTTGGTACAACCAACTTCTAGGAAGCAGCAACAACATCCTAGAGATGATCAGCTCCTGACAACCCAAGAAGTCCTCCAATCAGTCCAACTTCTCCTCCCTACATCCCTCATGCTCTACCTACCTGCAAAACTGTGTGGGGGAGCCAGACTAAAGACTAAATGCAATTTGTACTTCTAACCTCTGTGGCTTTTGGAGAAGCTAATCAACTTTGGATCGAGTTGTATTCAACAGATCATTTTTGCTTGGCAGTATCTAATCATAACTGCACAAAGCCCACTGCACTATAGAGTTTGGCAAAGTCATCTTGGAAACAGCTCATTTACTGAAAACTTAAGTTATATTTTAGCTTCAATGATAAAAAAAAATACCAAGAAAATGACAAGCATGGTTAGTTTTAGATGCCACCAGTTGAGGAGAAACAGGCAAGTTACCCAAAATGATCTCATCCTATTTTGTAACTTTGTCTTCATAAAATGCATATTTCTGCAAGTAGACAGTTTGAAAAACCTAGTTTAAAAATAAAAAGAGAAATAAATCCAGAAATCAATAATATTCTGGTTTATGCATTACAGATTTCATTTCTCCTCACCACTTTCTGCTGGTGCTTCTCAAAGAGAAGAAATCAGTGCAGTACACCCTTTACTTCTGTGTTTGCAGCTAACAAACTAAATCTGGTCATAAAGATCTTCCCATTCTGCGTTTTGTTTCTGCTCAGATTATCCCATTTTAGGCCACAGAACCTATTAACAACAATGAAGGGAAGGCCATACAACAAATGGTCTGAAACTCTAAACTGATGTAAATAAAATAAATTGTCTTTCTGGACAACAGCTACATATTTAGGGTCACTTAGATTTAGGCGAATAATGGATTTTTTTTCAGGTCAGTTAGCAAGAGGAAGAGGAAAATGTTGTTTCAGCTCAAAATGAAATGGAGTTTCAGGGCAGGGGAGAAATGTGGTAGAAATAACAATAATCAACTTTAAGTATTGTTTCATAGCCTTGTGCACAGGTAGGTAAGGCTTGTATTAAACCTACATATC